AAATTTAACCTAAATATTTGAACAGCTAAGGTCAATCTGATTCAAACAATGTTAGTTCCGTTCAAAGTTATTTCATTTATTTTTTTGATATTTTCCTGCCACTTTTTAGTTCTTTCCCGCCATTTTCGTTTCATGTTCTCATCCGTCCCGTTTTTAAACGGCTTGATCCATTTTTCTGAAACTTCTGGAACGAAAAGGCATTCCAATTACAACAATCCAACTCTCAGTTATTTCCCTTTAGTTTTCAGATTATTTTGTTGCCCGGGTGCAATGTTTCTCACTATATTTAGACTTGTAACTTCGCGACTTTTTCACCAATTTTGATAATTATTTTTTGTTGTTCTTTTTTCTTTTAAGATACTTGATATAATCCATGTCACGTGACGATGAATATGAAAGCTTTCATATCTGCATGGGACAGTAGCAGATCTAGTTATTCTTATTATTATTATTTTTCTTTTTCCAATTTGATTGTATCTCAGAAACTACTTGTCGGATTGATTCGATGTCTTCAGTTTTACTGGAAAAGTGGGTGTGACTTAGAGATTAAAGCTATTTCGAACGTTATGCGACAATGCGAAATGTCCGAAATCGTCGAAGTTATTGTTTTTTGAAATATTGACGTAATATTAACAATAATCATTGGATTTTAACATTGGATACATTTTGACATAGCCAGAGACAGGGCACATAGCTAAGGTTCTTTAGATTTTTTTTATTTTCGACAAATCTTCGGAGATATTAGGTGCCAAATTTTGAACATTTAAATTTTTACGAAAAACTTTTTTATTAATGAATATTTTTATGTGGTATTTTACCCAGGGTTCAAGAGTCATCTGATTTGACCAAAAATGGCATCATTTTTTGTCACCGTATTTTTCCTTGGCCCCCATTCAGGCTTTTCGTGTTTTAATATATTTCTTCGCAACTTTCATAAACTTGTAGCAATAATCCATACGAAGAGAATGTATGTGAAAATTAGTTTGTAATATGAGCAGTTGCCAAGAAATGGGCAATTTTGCATGAGCCACTATTTACGCTAGTTTGCCTGTAAAAGAGTCAATTATTATTGGATTTTCATAAAAGTGGCACCATTTGATGCATAATGTCAATTTTAACTAGGTCAAACCAATTTAACATTTTCAATGTCACCGGAAATGACGTAATTTGGGCAAAAACTGTATTTATAGCCTTCGAAACAAATAATTTATTCAAATGAGTCGTATTTGTTATTTGTTTAAAATTTTGATATTTGATTCAAATCAACTAATAGAATGAACCCATACTATCATATAGATATCACAAAATGGTTTCTACTTTGTTCAGTTGCGGAGAAATAGACGATTTTCAACAGGCAACTTTTCAAGGCTTTTTAAAATTATGATATTTCATTCCAATCAACAAATAGACTGAACCCATATGATCATATAGATACCAAAAAATGGTTTCTAACTTGTACAGTTGCAGAGAAATAGACGATATTCTACAAGTCACTGTTCAAGGTTTTTGGTCTATGAAAGTGGAAATTATTATTCGATTTACATAAAATTTTCACCATGTGTTGCGTTATGCCATTTTTGATTTCATAACATTTTCATTATCACCGGAAGTAATGTAATTTTGTCAGAATCACTTACATGTAACAAATGTATACAATGAATTGATATTGCTGGATTTTGTTGATTCTGCGTCCATTTTATTTGATGTGTGCAATATGTATATGGAAACCTGTTTAATGATTTCATCGATATCGGAAGTGACATATGTTCAAGGGTAATGGGGCACCGGTGAAACCCGTCATTACTGCGCCGCAGTTCTAGTATAATTTTTTTTTTTTATAATTTTCAGTCAAGTCAATTTTAATTTCCACCCAAGTCGTTTGTAATATAATTTTTTTTTTTTATATATAATTTTCAGCCAAGTCAATTTTAATATAATTTTTTTTTTTATAATTTTTATTGCCACCCAAGTCCTTTGTAATATAATATGTTTTTTATATGTGCACTAATGAATGATGGGTCACATGCATGGCTCTTGACCTTACTACTGGACACAAACACAAAGAGCCTTGTCATGAAGGCAAAGGGCCCCTTTTCTTACTGGACACTGGGGTTGGATGGCCGAATGGTTAGCACGCGCGTGCTGTATCATATGGTCTGTCACTGAGTCAACTGGCAGGGTTTCGATTCCACGGTTGTACGTGACAAGGAGTAGGGTCGCCTGTCCAACCTCGTGGGTTTTATCCGGTTTCCTCCCACTGCTAAACACCCCTACGCGCAGGCGAATGATTGAAATAAAATTGAACCATGTGTTAGTCCTGATTCCCCGGTTGTACGTGACAAGGAGTAGGGTCGCCTGTCCAACCTCGTGGGTTTTCTCCGGTTTCCTCCCACTGCTAAAGACCCCTACGCGCAGGCGAATGATTGAAATAAAATTGAACCATGTGTTAGTCTTGAAATGACCTAGTTTGTGTCGAGTTGACGTTAAACCCCATTTCTCTCTCTCTCTCTCTCTTACAGGACACAGAGCGTGCCTATTCTTAAACTTTGGGTCCCTTTTCTTGAACTTGAGGCATTTCACCTGGATTTGGTGTTTCCTTCAGTTTAATTTTTGGAGATTTTCACAAAATTCAATTTGTTTCCCGTTCCATTATATTTACCGGTATATGGCAAATCTTCCCAAGTAGGTTCTCACAAGATATTTGAATCGAGATTTTGGGACATAACATCCACTCGACACAAACTAAGTAATTTCAGGACTATTATATGAATCTATTTCATTTCAATGGTTAGCACGTAAGCGCTGTATCATAAGGTCTGTCATTGAGTTAACTGGTGTGGTTTCGATTCCCCGGGGTTGTACGTGCAAATCTTCCCAGGTAGGTTCTCACAAGATATTTGAATCAAGATTTTGGGGCATAACATCCACTCGACACAAACTAAGTAATTTCAGGACTATTATATGAATCTATTTCATTTCAAAGGGGGTGGGGTGGCCGAATGGATAGCACATAAGCGCTGTATCATAAGGTCTGTCATTGAGTCAACTGGCGTGGTTTTGATTCCCTGGGGTTGTACGTGCCCCAAGATCATGTGTTTGTATCCAGTTCAAAGCCATGCGCGTGACCCATCATTAGTGCACATAGAGAGAGAGAGAGAGAAATGGGGTTTAACGTCCACTCGACACAAACTAGGTCATTTCGGGACTAACGTATGGTTTAATTTTTTTATTTCAATAATTCGCTTGCACGTAGGGGTCTTTAGCAGTGGGAGGAAACCGGAGGACCCAGAGAAAACCCACGAGGTTGGACAGGCGACCCTACTCCTTGTCATGTACAACCGGGGAATCGAAACCCCGCCAGTTGACTCAATGACAGACCGTATGATACAGCGGGCGCGTGCTAACCATTCGGCCATCCAACCCTCCCATTAGTGCACATAGGCCAAGTTGTTTTGTGTTATCGCTTTTCAAAACACTGTGTGCTGAATTCGATGTCTAGATGTTTGTAGAGGTTGGCTAAGATTGGTGCATGCTGATATCAATATTGGCGTGCAATGCCATGCATATAAAATAACTCTTGACAGTTGAAATTTCATATAAGAGATTTCGTAGCACCGCTATCAGAGAAAAATTTCCCTTCTGACATACTGCATTCATTAGTCCAGTCAGAACAGTAGGACGTTAAAACCCCCATTTCATTTCATTTCAATGAGTTTCACTGTCAACCCCCGACTAAGATTGTGTCGACCCCTGCACCTTTATTTTCACACCCGAAAGCCCCCCTCCCCTTATTTCAAGACCAGCAACGGGATTTCGAAGAAGAATAGATGGGACCGCCGTTGTCCGGTGAAAATTATAAAAAACAAATTATATTAAAATGGGACTTTGGTGGAAATTATAAAAAAAACAAATTATATTACAAATGACTTGGGTGGAAATAAAAATTGACTTGGGTGAAAATTATAAAAAACAAATTATATTAGTTTGCATTGAAATAAGTAATTATGATACAAATAATGAAGGGTGGAAAATGAAATCTTCAAGTGACATGAAAACACAAGATTTTGGTTCGACGGCCATTTTAAAATGAAGAGAAATTTTGCATAGGAGTTGGATTTAGTCATATCATATGATTATGCGGTATGGTTTCACCTTTATTTCAATGGGAATTGGTGTATTATATGTTAAGCTATGTACATGTAGCCTACATGTACAGTACAGTTTGGGGTCAGTGTAATTGGATATTACGGGAGTTATAAACCAGTAACTCTTTTGTAGTCAAATGACTACAAAACTTGCTCAGAGGAAGGCCTTAGGACAATCCACTACTGTGGCTGGAGCAAGATGGAAGACATCAGTGACAATAGAGTGGAACCATTTCTAGTATCTGACCCATTCAGAAATTTGTGTTTTTGATATTCAGTATACATAAAAGATTTGTATCATCTTGAAATCTTATTTCTTTAATGATTTCAACATCCTAATCATGTACCTTTCACTTAAATTAAAAAAAAATAACAAAAAAAATGTAGGACCGTATTTAAAAAAAACAATTGATGACATAAAAATGTTCATCTCAACAGGCCTAACCATCATAAAGAAAATGTTTCTATCTTCTAGTATATAAATAAAATGGACTTGGTCACTATAATGACTCGAATCTGACTAATCTATTCTAAATCTAACAAGCTAGCCTACTAGTAAGTAAATGCACTGCAAACAAATGCTTGTCTTGTTCGTTTGGCCTGAAATAGGCCTATTCGGAATCCCACTTGCTCTTCAGTTTCGACACAGCGTTTAGGACAAAAATGTTGCCAATATGATTTAATAAATTCTATTGACTTACAATATGAACTTTTCAGATGCTTGTTATCATATATAGGGATAGAAGCAACCGCAAAGACTTGTTCAAGCGAAAAGCAACAACAAATTTATCTTCCACCAGTTTCCGCCATATTGGATTGTGCGTACCAGGATGCAACGCGATTAATAACAGTGTTGAATGAACTCATTTGGCAAGTGAGAAATGTCTTCATGGCCTGGCTTGCAATAGCGGGTTTAAACTCATGAAATGAAGCCGTTATTATTACGATTTGATTTCTATCTAAGAAATGCATACATAAACAATTAGATTGTTATCGACATTCAGAAGATAAATAGGCGACTTAGTTTAGGCTAATATTGCCTGCGCGTGAGTCACAGAACTTGACAAACTACACATGGAAGCTGTGGAAGGTAGGCATAATGTTTCCCGGATTTCTTTCACAACTAAATCGATCAATCAGCCGTTGAAATTCCACATATTAAGAACTTTTAATTAAGTCATTATATATGCGTATTGTCTATTTTAATTTCAGAGCTTCGATCGTGGTGGAAGGTACCATGTATTGCTCATTTTTGTTCCCTTTTTCGAGGGGTACTATTTGAACAATCCGATTTGGACATAGAGGTGAGCTATATTTAGAATTAACTGAATTAAACAATGTTTTATTTTCTTGTATATATTTTGGGCAATTGACAATTTTATTGAAGTTTGGTTACGTGGTATACATTATGTCATAGCAAATATCTAATAAACAGCTTTGAGACACAATTAGTGATTATTGTTGTTAAATGTAGCAAAACAGACTGCTAGACTATAAATTATGCAAATGATGGGAAGCCATATTACATGCAGACTTTCTTTTTAAAATAACGCCTTTTTCTGGCAGCTTTAATTAATATATGTGGTTACACCTAAAAAGACGACCAGGCATAGATTGAAATGCAATAATGCAAGTCGATCAAACAACAACCTTTGTTTCCGGATAGGATTTTACAGATCGCAATGTTGGCTAGTTGTTAGTTTGTGCTAGTAGATTTTGAAACTGCAATTTTCAAGGTTTTTGGATGTGTTTAGCTGAAAATATTAAGGAATAGATCAAATAAGTTTTAAGAAAATACTATAAAGTTTTTTGACAGATCAACAACTTAGACTAAAGGGGAACAATTTTTATGTAGGAAAGAATAAACAGAGTTACCTCCCTTTAATGGTAAATATGAGAGGAATTGTGCTTTCTAATACTTTAAGGAAAAAATTGATATAATTGCCCTCATGTCAATTTTTATGTAGGGTGACCACCTTTGCTTGCTCATATTGTGGGACATTTCAGAAATATATAAGTTGCTCAAAAACCCTCTTATTTTCTGCGGAGCTGCTCACCCCGAACTTCGAAAGCGTGAGTCCGTGATTGGGGAGAAAAGATTTGAAAACTAGAAGGCCAGAAACGCCAATCCCAGCAATCTGAGACAAGATGAAATACTCTAATTTAGTAGCGATAACTTGTGATTTTCTCCTGAATGCATAACAACTCAAAATAGTTTAATGAGTTTATGATTTATGATGAAACAAAGACAACAGACATTGAAAGATATGCAACTAAAACTTCAAGATTTAAAAGCGTACGTTTTGTTCGACTTCACAGCTTCTAACAATGTGCGATTTCTTAATATTTACCTGTGAAACTCCTGAATCAGGTATTTAAAATTTAATTTAATTTGAATTTCACATATCTAATAAGTTTTACTAATGCCTGGTTTCTGTCATCTCTCCAAGAATTTTTCATCAGTGAAAATATGCGTTCAACATAAGCATTGCAAACTGGCATGGAAAGAACAAAGGAAAACCACGAGCAAGCAACATAACCCTGCAACAGAAAAAGGCTTTAAAAGACCTTCGCAGTGATCCGAAGATAACTATTGTACCAGCTGACAAGGGTAAGGCAACAGTAGTGATGAATACAGACGAATACCACACAATTGTGGAAGACCTACTCAATGATACTTCATCCTACCGACGCCTTAGAAAAGACCCTACCAACAACCATGTTAAAGATTATGCTAAGCTTTTGAAATCACTCTGTAAAGATGAGAAGATTACCAACAACATCCATAACAGACTAAAACCAGAACACAACCATTCACCATACGCTAGCAGTGATCGAAATAACAGTCTGCTCACCTGCCCGTGGCTGGTAAATTTCATGTCGGCCTGCCTGAAAAAATTCCCCACCAGCCCGGTTGTCAGGCTGATAAAATTGACAGATATAATCTACTAGTACTAACTCACTCATTCTAATCTATCACTTGCTGAAGTTTACTTTGCCTTTGCCATGTCTTGTTTTGATAATAAAGTTTATTACTCTAGTGTATCTGCCTAAATATAAGTTATCTGTGCCGTGATTGGCCATATTTAGTAACATGGACCAATAAAGACCAATCAAAGTTAGTGTTACAATCCCGTTTAAGTTATCAAACAAAATGGCGTTGTAAATACGTATTCAGGTTATTAGAATGTCACAATTAAAGATTTTTAGTTTTTTTTTTTTTTATCAAACTCAAAGTTAAAAGATAAAGAATATGAAAACAATAAAAGAAATAAAAAGTATCAGATTAAGTGGCAGATCGAATTTCCGTGGCTGATTACCGACAAATAATCTCTGTTTTGTCGGATATGCAGATCGTGTTACGGGCCACTAGGCATATCCCAAGCAAACATTCCTGCATCGTATGACCGATACAAACGTGGCCCTTTCGTGATATGATTGATATGTAATCTCTTAGAGTCTGGCTGAATAAATAACGTTTGAAACAGTGATGCATTATTCTTGTTCGTTTTTTTGTAAAATATGTTACAAAATGTGGGCAGGCAACATTCTAGATGGGCAGGCAACTTTTATGGGTCACCTGCCCGACTGGCAGGTTAAGTTTGAAAGTTATTTCAATCACTGTACGCTAGAGCATCAATAAAGATCCACAAAGATCAAATTAAAGCTAGACTCCTGATATGCTCTATAGACTCAGTTTATTACAATACAGCCAAGTATCTTTCAAAATTACTCTCAGCACTAGGGAAAACAGCGGATTCGTTCATTAAGGACTCCACTGAAATTTGCACCCAACTCAAAGAGATCCAGGGAAAATGCTCTCGTACAATGTTGTTGATCTATTTACAAATGTGCCAAGAGAAGATGCCCTGATATTCCTAGAAACCCGCATCCACCAACTTTATGCCACTGGAAACTTCTATACAAGTTGATACCATCATCTGTCTAATCAAGCAATGCCTGGAATCTGCATACTTCACATGGGGTGACAACTATTATCAACAGATCCATGGTTTACCAATTGGCAGTCACTTATCCCCCTGATAGCAGAAATTTTCATGACGTCACTGGAAGAAGAAGCCATCCCAACCGCACCATTCCAACCCTTATTCTGGTACCGCAAGGTCGACGAGGTATTTGTTATGATAAAAGAAGAAGATGATGCTGGCACCCTACTACACCATCTGAACAACCAACACCCAAGGATCAAGTTCACCATGGAGAATGAAACCAGCAACAGCCTTCCTTTCCTAGACATACTAGTAATAAGACAGGACTCTAAAATAATTACCTCAGTATAAGAAAGCCAACCCACACGGACCAGTATATTCATTACAAATCATACCACCCTAACAGCACCAAAGCAGCCATCATCGCCACCCTAGCAAAAAGAGCTAAAGATATTTGTGACCCTGAACTACTCCCCCACAAAGTAAAACACCATACAGATGTTTTCACCAAGCACAACGTGTATCCGCTACAGATGGTTAAAAAGGTTATCAATTCCACACTATCCGACTTGCCAAAACCAGATAAACTAAAACCTGACAAAGCCCCTATACGAGAGTTTATACCTTTCCATGGCAACATCTCCCACCAAATTAGAAGATTGTTAAAACAAGAAGCACATATAGAAACCACATATCTCAAAGGCAGAACAACCAAAGAATTAATAAAAGCAAATGGAAAGATAACCCCCACCAAATCCATCTCCCCAAAAGGGTGTATTTATCAAGTAATTTGCAGCTGTGGGGAATCATACATTGGGGGATCGAAAAGGCCCCAAGACATCAGAATAAAAGAAAACATGTCTAAAAAAAAACCCCACCAACCAATCTGCCATTGCCGAACACCTTATTGAAAACCCGCGCCACCGAGTGAACTGGACAAACGTCAAAAAGTTAGCAGTTAACTACCACAACAAATGAAACCAAAGAACCCATGAAGCAATTAATATACGTAGGCATGAACCAAGACTAAATAGAGACCCAGGAATTTACATTCCAAGAGCATATGATCGCATCATTAAAATGTAGCTTACATCGTCTCAGAACAATTCATAAAGTATTACCCTTTAAGTTTTAATATTTTTTATTGTTTTTAATTTTGGATATTTCCTTAATTATATACAAATTTAGTTTTACTGCATCTTGTTTTTACTGTCAGTATTAACTGCTTATGGCTTCAGTTCACCTCTGTAATACCTGTCCTTTCATCTTTAATTACTACTTTCATCTATAACCAATTACTGTTGCTCTGTGTGTGTGTGTGTGTGTGTGTGTGTCTCTCTCTCTCTCTATCTCTCTCTCTCTCTGTCATAAGCGCCTTACAGAGTTACATCATTTCCTATTAAAACAACAACGGAATTGTGCCCGGTAAATGATAAATCGCCAGAAAAAGACCTCCCACTTATTATCACTCACAACCCAAAGAATCCGCCAGTAAAAAATAACATTAGAGGAAATATGAATATTTTAAGAGGATCTGAAAAAATGAATAATATCCTCTCACAGAAATCCAAACTTTAAATTATATACGATGAGCTCTTTCACATTACTTCATTACTCACAGCATCAGTTAATCTTAATCAACCATCCATACAGCACAGTGCCATAAATCACTCCACAGTGCGCTTAACGGTAAGTCACGTGGTCAGAAACGCGGGAAAAGATTGTCACAGCAGAGATTTTTCTACGGCTGTGCAAAATCCTGTAAGAATATTCCTTGGTTGAATGCGTGTAAATGTACAGTATTATATGTATACATAATTTGTAAAATAACAAATATATGGCGCTGTCACTTTTGTGACCTTCACAGTGTATCCCCTCCCACCCATATCGTTTTAATGCGTCATAATACATTATTATCATATACCGATGACAGTCAAGATTTACTAAATACTTTTCGCCGAGTAACACAGTGTAAGTCCCAATCTTTTCCCTCGTTTCTGACCAAGTAACTTACCGTTAAGCGCACTGTAGAATAATTTATGACACTGTGCTGTATGGATGGTTGATTTAGATTATCTGAAGCTGCGAGTAATGAAGATAATTGATGGATTATACATCTAAGTTATAGACGAAGATGAAATGATATGTTTAAAAATTTGTAAGTTGTTCATAGTTTGCATACATTTTGGCCCCACGTAAGAATGCCGGTAAATGTTTTCCCGGGATTACCTAACTCACATTCATGTACACGTTTTCACGGCAGCATTACTATATTACAACTCCTTCAATTTATTATAGACAATATTAGTTCGACCCTAGCTTAAGGTAGGGCCGCGAATTCCTGGTGGGAAGCA